GGCGTGGACTGTGTTCAATATGTGTTAGTATTGAAAAACGTGTACTTGGACTAGGTTGGACCATACGTGGGCTGCGCGAGGGATGTCCGTGGGCTGTGCGTGGGCTGTGCTCAATTTGCGCTGGGCCTAACAGACTTACAGCTTTTCAGGGATGCGCGTCTGCAATCGCTTAGAAAATTGGCCACAGGAACACCGCTTCGTGTTTGTCAACGTTCTTCTGACTCGCTGTCCCGTTCTCTGATGTGTTGAGACACACAGATGCACTAATAGAAACTTTTGCTTTACTTTTAATAAATTAATTATTCAAAATTGAAATTGTTACAATTTACTACCAAATTCAGCTACGAATGACCAAAAAATTGTATGTTTAAATTGTTGATTTAAATTGACTGGTCGCTGTTTAATCTTGGTGGTAAATAGTTGATCGTTAGGGTGAAGAAATAACTTGTAAAATGAAATCTCTTCACACGTTCTTTATTGGGTGCTCTTATGGTAACATATGGAAACATACCACTCTTATAAATTTGTAACGACTTTGCCCAGGGCTGACAGGGTTGCCGTCTAGACAATTAAATCTTAGGGCTAGGAATTATACATAGAATAAAATATTTTGAAATATGTAATTTTAATCAGGTACCACGAAATATTATTCTTCTACTTGTTCCGGTAATGGTTTCATTATACATGAAATTAAAGCGACCATCCATAATAGTGTTGGACTAGCGGACCAACTCGAGTTTTGATGTAAGTTTTGCTGATATTTAAGAGGGGCGGAGTCTAACGATAGTTTAGTTTAGGTTAGATTAGGTTAGGTTAGGCTGGGATATCTTACCGGAAGTAAATACTTCCGGTTTCATAATTCTGAATTCAATCAGTAAGTGTAAGAAAAAGTAGACGCAGGCATATTTTAAAAATACATTGAAAATTAGGACTTTAAATTTTGAAGAATGAAAACAAAGTTCCTATACTTTACTATAGGAAAAATTCATTTTATGGCCGCCATTTTTAAACCGGTTGGAATTTTTTAATTTGAAGCCTTAAGGGGAATCTACTCAACAATCTGTTTAATTATTCGAAAAAATTATTCTCCTATCTATTACCATTTAGGAGGAGTATTGCGCACAATAAAAGGGCTTAGCCTTTTAGTATATAAGATAATGCATCATACCACTCAAGAGTAGAAGATAGATTTCCTTTAAGCAGCTGGACAAAAGAAGAAATAAAGTTGTAGTTGACAAAAAAGAAAATTTATCACAGTGATATATTTTTAAAAGTCGGTTTAGTTCAAAGGTGTGGAGAGCACAAAATTCAAAGGAAATTTGTTACTCACTAAATGGTTCTTAAATATGGCGATGAAGTTCTTTGAGTTCTGCCCTACCATTACCATTATAATGCAATTGAATGAGTTTGGGGTATAGCCAAAAATTTTTATGATAAGCATGCATCCAAAAAAACAGATGACGCTAGAGTTCTTAGTTTAAAGAAAGAATCGCTAAAACAAATAAAGGCAGGACCATGGCAAAATTGTATTAGACATACGGAAGACATAATCATTCAGTCTGTTCAAACCGAGAGAGTTATAGATGAGGTGCGGCCTCTAATTACTAGGATAGACAATTCAGATAGTTGCGACTCTGATAGTGAAATATCAGAAAGTGATATTGTTCTGAAGCTATTTTCTTGTGGCATTGTGAATTAATTGCTATTAAACTGGGAATAAGCCACAATTAAAGATAAAAATACGTTTATTGACGTTTCAATTTCCACTTCGGAAATCGTTCTCAAAATACAAACAGTAAATTAAACAAATTTTGTTTTTTGTTACATAGTGAAAAATGCTTCTAATAATTTAATTTTATCTGACTCATTTATATTGACAATTCAGACACACATTATGCATTTTAAAGTAGACGACTTTAAAATGATATTGCCAATATTGTTGAGTTGCGCTCCTAGGACGACTTTACTTATAAGATAGTTCATTCGATTACACGAAATCAACTTTAACTTGAGAATATCCGTCAGAAAAAAATCATAGCATGTAATTCGTCTTTAAAAAGACAAACACATGACATGATGACAGTAAAATTCTCCTGTTAGTGATTTCATAGTAAATTATGAGGGAAAAACCAGGAAAAAAAACCTCATAATACTATCCCGACATTGTAAGTATTTGTTCGTGAATTTAGTTTACCTTCAACAAACATCAAAATTCTGATTTTATATGTTACGTTATTTAAAAAACATAAATGATGTATCCTCTATATGTTACTGACTTACTAATACTGGTATTTTCTTATTAATAACTTCCTCTTTCAATATCGGTAACCAGATCCTACTACATTCTGCTGAGGAATTTGCGACACAATTGGCCTCATTTAGCATAATTAGAGCCGCTTCTTTGAGTTTTCTTTTTTTACCATCCGTTTCTTTTAGGACTACATTCGAATTATTCCATTGAACCCTGTGTTCATTATCCCATGCTTGTTTACAGATTTGAGATCTATCAAATTCTCTATTTTTAATATAGGATTGATGTTCACTTATTCTAACATTTAATGGCCTTGATGATTCACCTAAATAAAACTGATCGCATTCTCAAGGTATTTTATAAATGCAATTCTTTGTCCTTCCTTGTTCATTGTTAGGTTTGGTTTTGGACAAAATAGATCTCAATGTGTTTGTTGTTTTGAATGTTGTTGAAATGTTGAATTTACTTCCTATCCTTTTAAGTTTTTCTGATAATTCTTTTATGTACGGTATGGTCATAGCAAGATCCTACACAGTATACCCAATAATAATTATATAAAAATGAATTTACTAGAAGATCTTGAAATCAGTAGAGAAATGAAAAGGAATCCTCAGAACTGTGTCAATACTCAAATTAACTTAAATTGTAAGTTTGATCCAATCTTTAAGAAGTTTCTTTAATAATACATTTAGTATAAAATTAACCATCATTTGATCAAGCTTTGACCTTTATTTTTAAAAGAGATTTAAAAGAGAGAATTTCTTGAATTTTCTTTCATTGATTTCATCTAAGTAGAGAATGTTTGATATTTTTCTTCTTCATTATTTATTTTATTAATAATATTGATAATCAATAATAGCTATTGAACTCTTAACTTAGCAAATGATACTTCTCCTTGGTTGGTTTTTTATCTACTTTCTTCCACTTGGTCAAACTTTAAAGTTTTGTTTTTGATAATATTGATAAATGTATATTTTAAATTTTCACGTTGACTTATCAATTTAAAATATTTAAATTTAAAATTTTATGTAACTAAAAGTAATAATCAATAACCTTCAGACGTCAGTTTAGACATTTTCAATTTTCAATTAATAATTTTAAATACAGAGGTCGCTCTCGGATTTATTTCCGTATATCCGAGCTTTCTTCTTCATTTTACTTCAAAAACGTAAGTCAAAAACAGCTGTTGTCGTTGCTGTATGTGGTAACCATGTTTTATAAAAATTTTTGATGTGAATTATACATATGTATAAGGGTTAGACCCAAGATCTGTGGCCTACAGAGCCCGATCTTTGTTTTTTAATATGTCGTTTGTCCACAATTTTCCTTATATGAAGTATTTATTGCCTAATTGACGTAAGTTTTTTCTCTCATTGTATTTTATATAAAAAATTTACTTAACTTAACGTTATTTTAGGATAGCTCTGATGATGACATTTATTATGTCGAAAGTATCCTCAGCTTAATTAATAAATTATTTTACACACTATCAATTTTATTGAAAATATTCAAAACCTGTTTACCAGTTAGACCCATTTTTTTGTTATCTTGTATTAACTATTTTTTCTTTTTTTCTTCATATTCGTAAATTCCAAAATTTCAATCACCTTGGGGCACTTTTCAGACTGAAAATACGAAAAAATGTCATTTCAGTTTTTCATTCGAAAATGGAAGAAGCATCAATTCCGCACCTCGCAAAAATGAAATTTCAAAAAAATAAATTTGAGCTCCACCCTAATGGTCAGTCCAGGCCTGGAATGAACCGATTATTACAAATGCACTTTTAAAACATTTTACAGACCTTTCCTAATATTTTCAACATAATGCACAAAATATTTGATCAATTCATTATAATAAAAGAGCGAAATACTTCATTGTTAGACATATGAAGGCCTTTTGAAATATTACTAAACAATATTACCATTTCTAAGCTAAATTTTCTTTGATTACTTGCCATAGATAGACAGAAATGAATGTATTAAATCTATTATATAAATATGGGGACATTTTTGGTCCATTTCCCTACAAAAACAATGTTTGTAAAATCTTTTACTTGATATTATGGATAACACTAGGCACATCATTTTTATACGATCAGTATGCCGATTTTAAGACATTCCGATTGGTTACTTTTACGGAATATACACATCTTTTGTTCAGAACTTTGCACGTTAGTACCTTTTTGACATTTAATGTTTGTTACGTATATGATAAAATACGATATCAAAGTATGTGGGAAAAGTTTATGGAAAATATAAACGAGCTGCATAGAAACGACACACGTAAGAGTATTTTAAACTACTGTATTCAGATTTGTTCTATTAGCGTGCCACTAATAGTGAACCATGGAATTGATCTTCAATCGACTGTCTTTGTCTTTTCGAGAAAAAGTATTTGTGGACAAATTATATCATTTATTACAGATTTGCAATTTTTATATTTTTCAATTGTTGTTTGGGAAATTTCTCACATATTTTCAGAGATTTGTGATGACTTGATCTACACAATCATAGACAGCTTCCGTAGTCAAATTTTGTATCGTAACATATTTTTAGAAGATATGAAGTTGATTAAAACACAGCTGATAATGTTTCATAGGGAAATTGTGCGATTCAACAGACTTACTGATTTTATCTTCCTATTTATTGTCTTTTTTTATATATGTGTCCTAGATTCATTTTTAACAATATTTCTTTTTGCAAGTGACCAAAGCAGTATACATATTAACAAGAGTTATACAGTTATCAACATGTTTTTGACAATAGTAAGTAATTCTTTTAATAATTTAACACTTTAACTCCCAGGCCATAATTTGAAAAACTTTATGCAAACCCATTATACTTTTTTGATTTTTTTTTATTGGCATAGACTAGGTGTCAATCAGCCAGTAACAACATGAAAATTAAAAATATAGCATCTTTTCAACATCATCAGTGTGTTCAAAAAATGGTACACATAACATAATTCAAAATACTAACTATTTTTTGTATTATCTCCCTTTTATCTATATTTACATATAAACAAGATGATGAGGTTTTCAGAGTTCCACAGCAAACTCTTGAGTAGCTATCTACTCAATTCGACAGCTGCTTTGCTATTGACTGTCCAAGTTGCTCACCACAATTTTGTATATACATATATATTTTTTTATAGTTGACACTAAAAGACTATTTTGGTACCTGACAGAAATTTTGCTAATGCATTATAAATTCTCTCATTTCCATTAGCTAAGAGACTAAGGATATTAAACGGAGACTGTACATTGAGATCATGTAATTGTTGAATAAATTGATCTGTTTCATCCTTATATTTTTGGCATTCGAAAAAAATATGATCTAAATCACCTTTTTTGCCACAATTTTAACAAAGATCATTTTTAAGAACATGAGTTTTATGGAGATGTGTGGGATAACAGGCGTGGCCAAATCTAAGACGTGTTATCGTTGTGATATCTTTTCTTGAATAATTATATTGCTGGAACCACGTTTTATTCGGCATTTTATTTTGTATACTGCAGTATCTAGAAGGGTTGGTATAAGTATGTTGTGACCAACATTCGTTCCAAATATTGAGATAATTCCACATAAACCACATGATTTTAATTTATTTTATCTTAATTAATCTTAATAAACTTAAAAGCGACAACATTTTTAAACGGAGAATGAAAAGACCTTTCAAACGATATATCACAAGCCTATATATCCTATTTTAAAAATTGGGGGTTGTACCTGTCATTCTAAGGGGGTTGAAGGTAGGGGTTGCATTTTCACGTTAAAGAATGTCAAGTTGAAATTTAAATTTGACGTGTTTTGGGATTTTTTATAAATATGTACAGTAACCTAAATAATGAATTTATTCCATTTGGCTTTTACACATTGTATATGCTTTGGACCATTTATCTGGTATTTCGTTCAGGTTTATAGCGTTACTGAACATTTCGTGTATAATTCTGTTCCGTACTTAATTACTTCATTTATATATATATATATATATATATATATATATATATATATATATATATATATATATATAGTCCCAAGATTCCTAAGAGGAACATAGGGCTTCCACAAAGTGTCTCCAGCGAACTCTATTTCTGGCTAGTGCTTTGATTTCAAGCCAGGATTTTCCCATTGTTCTCCCTTCGTCCAGTACTGTCCTTCTCCAAGTTCCCTTAGGTCTGCCTACTTTCCGTCGGCCTTGGGGATTCCAATCCAGTGCTGTCCTGGCAATGTCATTTGGCGGTCTACGGAGTGTGTGGCCCAGCCATCTCCATTTTCTTCGCCTTATTTGCTTTATGACATTTTCTTGGTTGCTTTGGTTCCATAAATTTTCATTGGAGATTCGGTTAGGCCAAAATATACGAAGGATTTTTCGTAACGCTCTATTAATGAAAACTTGTAATTGGTGTACTATGGGTGCTGATATCTTCCACGTTTCGCAGCCATACAGTAATACAGCTTTTACGTTTGTGTTGAAGATTTTTAGTTTCGTTTTCGTTGGGTAAATCCTGGATTTCCATATGTTGTTAAGCATGTTGTAGGCGTTGCGAGCCTTATTTATTCTTTCATGTACATCACGCTCTGTACCCCCATTACAGTCAATTATGCTGCCCAGATATACAAATTCCGCTACTCTCTCAATTTTCTGGTCGTTGATAATAATAGGTTGGTTGTTTCTGGTACCAAATCGCATTTCTTTGGTTTTGTTGGTGTTTATTTCTAGACCAACCTTCTTTGATTCTTCTTGTACTTTGTTTACTTGGAGTTGCATGTCCTGTTTTGTATGTGCTAGGAGGCATATATCATCAGCGTAATCTAGGTTTTCCAGTCTGTTTGTTAATCCCCAGTAAATTCCTCTATTAGAGTTTACCTTTGTTTGTACGGAGTTCAGTACAATGTTAAATAGTATAGGGGATAAAACACAGCCCTGCTTTACTCCGTTTAGCATAGCTATTGGGTCAGATGTTATGCCGTTGTGTAGGATTTTGCTTTCTGTGTCACTGTAGAGTTCTTTGATGAGATTTACTATTTTTTCTGGTATTCCTATTTTCTGCAGTGCTTTCCATATGGCCGTGTGTGTGAGCGTGTCAAAAGCTCTCTTGAAGTCCACAAAGCACACAAAGAGAGGAGAGTTGAATTCCTGTGACTGTTCTACAATTATTCTTAGTGTGTTAATTTGGTCCACGCATGATCTGTTTGGTCTGAAACCGGCTTGTTCCTTCCTCAACATTGGTTCTACACTCTTTGTTAGTCGGTTGTTTATAATTATTGCTGTTAATTTATTTATAGTATTCAGAAGTGTGATTCCTCTCCAGTTTTCGCAATATCTTCTGTCACCCTTTTTTGGTATCTTTATTATTAATCCCGTTTTCCATTCTTTGGGGAACTTTTCCTCTCTCCAAGCCCTTTTCAAGAGTGGTTGGATTAGCTCTGCCACTGTACCTGGGCAAGCTTTTAACAACTCTGGTGGAATATTGTCAGGGCCGGCTGCTTTGTGTGCTTTCAGTTTTTCTATGGCCATTTCTATTTCTTGCGTTGTTGGTTCGTTGGTGTTAATTCTCAGTTGGATATTGGGTATTAGGTTTTCTGCGTCTTCTGGTGGTGTTGGGACTGCACTTAGAGATTCGCTAAAATATTCATGCCATCTTTTGACTTGTTCCTGTGGCGTTGTAATATCTTCACCTGTAGCACTTTTTACAATTGGTTGGTGGGTAGTATATCTTTTATTGGCTAGTTGTTTAGTGATATTATATAATTGTCTCATGTTTTGATGTTCATCGGCGACTCGCGCTTCTTCGGCAAGATTTTCTGCCCACTTTCTTTTGTCTTTCTTTGCTGCCTTCTTGACAGCTTTATTCGCTTCTCTATAACTTTCTCTAAGTCGGTTCTTCTCTAATTACTTCATTAAACAACACTTAATTCCGATAAAATCTAGATGATTCACTTTTGTCTAGAAAATAGATAAATGTTATAATCGTCCATGCAAAATATGAGTATCACGAAATACTGCACTTTTGTTAGAATTTACGCAACGATTACTGAACGTTAATCAGAAATAATACGCTTTTGCTCAGAAGGAATGGTGCTTCACCTACGCATTAAGAATTGATACTGTTTTAACGGAAAATTTCCTGAAACATTTTCCTAACAAAATAGTTTTTAGCGCCATCTGTGAGGTAATTTTTAAAGTAACTTTGCTACGGTTTTGTTGGTTAGTAGATTTGACATCATGTATCATATTTCAGTAAATAAGTGCGGTTTGAAAAAAATTTAAGTTATGACACTTTTGTTCGGGATGTGGGATGTGACAATATTGCTCCTACTTTTACCTTTTTTTTAAATTTTTCATTTGTTAATTTTTGTTACAATTAAATATTTTTTTAGGGATTTTCCGTCGTTCCTATTTTGTCGTGTGACAAAATTGAGAAAAAATTGGACGAACTAGCTGAGACTTGCGTCTATATTCAATCGACCACAGAAGATCCTCATTCAATAGATCTAGTAACTATGACGAAACTACTAAACAGAAAATACTCAGCAGCAGGATTTTTTCACATTAACCAACGTTTGTTACCACAGCTATTCTCAGGACTAATGACTTATCTGATTGTTATATTACAGTTTAATGTCGCTGTTTTTAAAAAATATTTAAAAAATGATTTAGAAAAAATTCCTCCCCCCACACCTTGAGTTCTTGTTAGAGCGCGGTGACACTCTACCCATTGTTAGCTTGCTGTCACCATTGGCTGCAATCCTGTTCCAAATGAACAGCTTCTTGAAGGGATTTTGACTTCGGTTCGGACCACTGATATTTTACGATTGATTTCTGAGGAGCTATCATCATTGTTGGTTATCAGGGCGCCTAAGTATACAAATCTGTGTACTACTTTAAAATTCGTCACTTGGTGTATGTGCCGCAAATTATTATTTGCTCTGTCTTTGATTATTATTTTTGTTTTTTCGATGTTAATTTGAAATCAGAAAACTTTGCTTATTAAGCTTAGTTGTTAGTTGTTCGGTAATGGTAATCTAGTCGACTTCACTCGCTGCACGTATAATGTGATATTTTGATACTTATTTTTCTACCTACTATAGTGATTCCTCAATCGCATTTGTCTTGTACTTTCATCTTATTAGCTCCAGATTTCTCATTAAATCTTCGCAGATCAGCATTGTATCTTGTGTTCCCTCGCTTTTTTCATTACCTGTTTTTGTTTAATATCTGCTAATGCATTTCTCTTCCTGGTATGAATCCACATTGTTCTTCAACTATATCTGGAAGTATAAAGTTCTTTTTTCATTGAATAAATTTTTTCCAGGTTTCTGCAGTCAATGATAGGCTGCAGTTGTGGCTTGATTTCTCAGACCAAAAAATATTTAACATTTTTTAAATAGGTACTTCATGATGTTCATGACGGTCTTTATGTTGTTCCAGTTTTTGACACTGATTATTTATATGGTTTTCTTTTATCTCTTATACACATACATTTTATTTTCTTAATTAGCTCTACTATTTCTTGAGTGCCGTTTCCTGTTTTTGTGGAATGTTGTAGCAAAACTCTTCTGTTTTCACTAAATCTAAGGTTTCCTTTCACAGTCAATGTTTGTTCTTTTTTATTTTTAACAGATTTTCACAGATATTTATTCCATTCAATGTTTTATTTGTGTCTTCGTATATTTGAGGTTTTTCCCTGTCTAATTCTTTCATATTATTTACCTATAGCTGTATAGTCTGATTTTTTGTACTTCTTTTGTATAACTGTATTTTTCTAGTTGTGTGTATACTATCGTATTCCTTTTATCATATTTATGTGGGTTTAATATAGAATATAGGTGTTAACTTGTTTGACTAACATAAGCTGAAATTTCATATACTATGGGTTTTTTATTTATAGTTCTACTTTTAAGTTTGCTAAAATATTTATTAGTAATTTTATATCCTTTATATGCTATTTGTATAATATATTTAGCAAATAAATATTTAAATCCAGAATGATTTTTTATGTATGGCAAGGTTAACTAGGTAAATGCATTGGGTTTATTATTAGCTGAATTGTTAGTTTTATTGTATAACTGTATCGCTCTATCAGCAAGACTGATTACTACCGATTTTTTTTTTAAATGGGATGATGCGAATTAAAATTAGTATATCTTGCAGATCAATTGTGTTTAGAGTACCATTCTTATACACAAAATATTTAAATCTAGAATTATTAGATACATATTACTGTAACATTTTTTTTATTATTAATATATTAAATATTTCTAATTCCTTTTACCCCCGTGCGATACGCCTATGATCGTATATCGATAGCAAAATATTGTAGATACCCAGCTAAAATGGAATTCCCTAATTAGGAATGGTTTTTAATCCTTTCGTCATAATATTCATTATGAAAAGAGTATAATGCGTTTTGGTATGCAGTTTCCTTTTCATAAATTGGTAATTTTCGTCGAAGGCCCGTTTCTTTTGACAATTACTTAATCCCAAGTATTGTCTGTTTCTTATGTCCAATTGTTAATACCGATTATTTTACCTCAAAGTTTCCAATAGTCGTTAAGGCCTTATCTTCTGAGAAATACATACGACTGTCCGATGATTTTAAGTGGGGGATATAGCTTCTTCTTCTTTTTTCTTGAATAGTTGGTGAAAATTTTAGTGGAACCAATTTACTTCTCGGTGGGCTCTTGTTGAGTGAGGTAATATCTCGTGTTACTTGTTGGTGGGCCGTTGTTGAGTTAAGGCCAATATCTCGTGTTACGCTTTGCTCATTTTATTTCTTACCGTATCGTCTTTGTGAATTATTTTCTAAGTGTGTATACACTTTATATTTGAGTTTTCTTTCCTTAGACTATATTAAATTATATATAGTTCTACACTACCTTTAATGGTTATTAAATTCAGTGTTTAGTACCAGAAAAGTATTAAATTCAGTGAATTAAGCTGCCTTCGTCAAGATCTACTGTAAGTAATTTTATCTACAATTATCTGGGCGAGTAATATGGTATGGTACCATATCACCTGCCATTATCTGGACGTATCATCTATATCTTCACCTGAAGATTGCCGATTTTTGAATGTAATTGAACCATTCAAGAAATTTCTATAAATATTACCTATGAACATACAAGTCTCAGTTTTTTACCCAGACTTAGCCAAGTGCGGTTTGGTTTATGTTTTCATTCTTGTAACCTTTTTGTTTTTTTTTTTGTAAATTTAGAGTTAAGTAATTTTTGCTATCTTTTGTATTTCCTATAATTTTTGTTCATTATCTTTCTTATGATATCTCGAGATACGCCAAATTATATTTGTATATGATTGCCTTATACATCTTGGTAAAGGTATTTTTTTATTACATTATAGCTTAATTTTATACATATATAACACCATTTCATAGTTGTGTATTTTTATTACCTGGGTTGCATTTAGCAGCATCATAATTTTGTGTTTAATATATTGTTATTCTTTTATGCATGTATTTTATTTGTTGGCTCCTAACAAGTTCCCTGATAAAATAATAGCTCTGAACAATTACTATCTTTAAATATTACTATGCTTTTGAACTGTAGAAAGATCAGGCTGATTAAGTTTCGTAGGTAAGTAAGTGTAATACTTAATATCTTTATTATTTGTTTATATATTGCGTTGACCAGATTTATTTGATAATTTACTGTTGGTATCTTTCCTTGGGTTTGATCTCTGAACCTGAATATCTTTTCTTATCTCTCTTCTTTTCTAAGGTTTTCTTAATTTTCTCCTTAACCCCAAAAAATTGAGTGGCGCCCTGTTTCTATCTTCTCTTATCTTTGGTAATTTTACCCATCTATCTTTTTGTTTATTTCTGTATCTTTTCTATTACCTCTTATCTCATCTTTACCTATTTCTTCCGTTGGATCCATTCCCGGTTCCAAAAGCTAGTTTCGAACCCACGACTCGCTCTATACCAACCATCTGGCTGCCGTCCGCAGTGTCTCCATTGGTTATCTTTCTAGCACTACCCAAAAAAGATTTCCGAGGTTACATTACAATAAAACTAACAATTACTTGCTATAAGAACACTAATACAGGCAAATGGTTCATATTTCGACATTTTTTAAAATGTCAAATTGTTTTCGTGATAAATTGTGTTTTCTGTATGACATTACATGCAATGTAATGTATTTTATCAGATTTTACCATTATGTAGACTAATTTACGTTTTTTGGTAAGTTTTTATTAAAATTTTTGTATTTACTGTATTTACTATTATGACAAAATCAATTGATATAGGTATTAAAGATATTGTTTTAAAATAGCATGGGCACCTACCGAAACATTAACCAGTGGCGGCTCGTGACTGGAGAGACAAGGTCGGCAAGGTATTTTTTTCTTCTCAGATAGGGATACCGTCTAATAAAGACTCCAATCATCATAGTAGTTTTCTGTTTTTTTTTGCTTTTCGTATAAATTTAAAACCTAAACATGTTTTTTTTTTAAATTAACTTAAGTCTACGTTGTTTGGAAGTAGCAAAATTTATTTAGAGTTTTGGAGAGATTTTAAAAGTTTTTTTTTTTATTGACATTTAAGACAAGCTTATGGTGTTTCTACTATACGTTTTGATTTTTTAAGACAAGAGAGATCTCGTTCAATTGAGTTAGACTTTGGGAGTAATTAGAGAATTAATGACAATAATTTATTAATTTCGGTAACAGTTTGTTGTAATGAATTGCAGTATATAAAATTATACATATCTTGTAATTTATCCCACCTTCTGAAAATATTTGGAAATTTTATTTCATTGTCTAATTTTATTTTATTAAAGAATGATGGATAATTTTTAAATAACCTGTCTAATAAATATCTTGGAAATTCTTTGACGAAACTTTTAAATTTTGAATCGTAAAAGTGGTCAAATATTTGCAAATCTTTAAAATTCGAAAAACGAGTATCTATTTCCATAATAATAGTGTCCAAAATTTTAAAATATACTCGTTTTTCGAGATCTGTTTCTATGTCATGCTTTTGTTTTTTATGGGGGTTCGGAAATATCAAGCCAGTCCAAAACGTAACTGCGTATATACTGGAAATTACTATGATTACGAAAATCTTGAGATTTTGCACCAGTTTTGTTATCGTATTTTTGGAATGAATAATGTTAGTTAAATGATTTTAAACAATATTTAATATCAAATCCGTTTGATAAATTACTTATTGACATTATATTAGAAAATAAAAATAAATCACAGAAACAAAAGCTAGTTTCTGCACTCAATATCACTTTACTTCACTACCTAAGTTCTAAAGTACGTATCCCGAAATAACATTTCATCCCACGCTCGCAAGGTACAGTTCGCAACCAATCACGAATCCAAATAAAGCATAGGCAAATTTAAATTTGCCGTACTTGGTAATTGTGTTCATATGAAAAGAAATGTATGTTTGGTTGCTCATCCACTAATATTCCGTTGATTTTTCCATGTAAATCTCCTCAGGGGACTAACTCCCCAGTACTTGTAAAAAACGCAAAAATTGTAAAAAACCCAATCAAATTCATTGGTATAGGACGGCAAAACAAAGACAACATAAGCTTTGAAAAAGCACACGATTTTTTAGTACACGGAACGTTCAAGGTATATCAAAAAGATCAATGAAGTCTTACATGAATTAACAGAACTACAAATAGACATAAGTCATTACTAAAAGAAAACAGAAGGAAACAGGCTCTACAAATCTAGGAAAATATGACCATTTCTATAGTGGAGTACCAAAAGAATGTAGAGCTTAACAGGGAATTTCTTTTATAATTTTAGAAGACTAAGAAAGTTCGTAACAACCTAGGAAACCATAAGTGAAAGATTAATTAAAGTAAATATGTGTCTTCATGGATATAAACTAACAAATATGGGCGTATATGCCATAAATAACTACGCACTTCTCTCTTCAATCCTGACCCCCCAGTTGTAGTGTAGTGGTTGACGTGATGTCGTGTATTGTCCGTCTCCAGAGATCTCTGTCTCTGGTCATTTCTTTTAATTCATGCGTAGGTCTTTGGCATATTCCTGTAATTTGATCTATCCATCTTGTTGGGGATCTTCCTCGTGATCTTCGGCCTTCTACCTTTCCTTGTATTATGAGTCTTTCTATTTTTTTTGTGTGTTTGCTCTCATAACATGTCCAAAATATTTTAATTCTTGAAGATGGACTTTACTAAAGAGTCGTTGGCTAACTTTTAGCTCTCTTAAAATTGAATTATTTGTTCTACGGTTGGTCCAAGGAATTCGTAACATTCGTCTCCAACAGAACATTTCAGTGGCGTCTATCTTTCTATTCTCCGATTGTCTCAGAGTCCAAGATTCACATCCAAAGGTTAGTATTGGGAATATTAAGCAGTTGATCAACCTCATCTTTATCGCTCTTGAAATTTGACAGTCCTTCCATATTTTGGTCATTTTTGTTGCGGCAACTTTTGCTAGATTACATATACGTTTAATCTCTTCTTGTAATGACCATGTGTTTGTGATTAATGATCCCAGATATAAGTATGAGCTCACAACCTCGAACCGGTCAATTGTGGTTATGTGTGGATGATTGTTGTGTAGTCTATCCACTATCATGATCTTTGTCTTTGATATGTTTAACTGCAGACCAAATATTTGACTTTCGTTTTCGATCAGTCGTATAAGTTCCATCAGCTCTGCTTAACTATTTGCAATATGCACACGACGACGCACTTACCAACGTAAAAAACGCATTTTTTTGAACAGCTTCACGAAGAAATATCGGTAAAAAATAATCGCGGAAAATAATATTAAGGCAGGTAATCGACGGGCGTAAAATACGCCGCGAGAGATACGCAGCGTATTTGGTTAACATAATAGACGAGCGTTTTATTTCACGCCTTTTGGCGGAAAGAGTATAGTCATAGTCAGTAATAAAATGGATTTAGTTCAAATCGGATATGTTGCTGCACTTTGCTTAGTGTTAAAAAAACGAAAAAACAAAAAAAGAATTCGTCGTTGATGGGTTCATCCTGTTATTAGTAGCAGATTTAAGGTCCGCTTGCCATTATGCTAAATTCAGTACTGAATTTAGCACTAAAAATATTGTATCTACAAATTAGGTGCGCGCGCCGATTCAGTACTAAAAATTAGAACATGTTCTAATTTCTTGTACTAAAAATGATCCAATATTAACTAAAACTGAGGTTATGTTACGTATATTTATGTTTTGTTTTTAAATATGTGGAGTCAAAAGCAAATAGAAAATTTAATCGAACTATATAAAGCAAAAATAGGAATGCGAGAGTAAAAGCTTTGGAAGAAATAAAGGCGGAATTGTACAAACTCCTGTTTGTTTTGTTTACTCTAATCATAAAACTATAAAACAAACTTCAGATAAGTTAGACTGTCAATACAAAATTGGTAGAGCGCATGCCTACAGGCTAATTAAAATCAAGATAGTTGCAAACACCAACATACATTTTTCATACTAAATCGACTCGCGCAACTAACTAATATTTTTAGCACTGAAATCAGTACTGAAATTAGCATAATGGCAAGCGGACCTAAGACAGGACAATTTAATTTAAAATTTTGCGAACACAGACAGTATCCCGAAAATTTTATTTTATGCCACCGCATGTCTTTAAAGAGTTTTGATGAACTGCTGAAGCTGGTAGAAAGTAAAATAACCAAGACTACAACCAACATGCCAATTTCAATTGACCCAGCAGAACGATTAGTTATTACAATAAGGTAAATAATCAAAGTAAGATAAAATTTTATTAAAGTTAATTGTTATCCTTAACAAGTCGTTAAAGTAAAGTAAGTAAGAGTATTAATATAAATCAATTAAAGTATCTTTCAATGTAGCTGTTGACGAAGGGACTAAATACTGTGAAGTTGATTGAGTGGATCCAGAAGGAGAGACTATAGGAGAATAAGGCGAGGGTGATTAGACGGATGAAGGAGACGGAGTTTCTGAGCACTGTAGTAACAGACTGGATGCAGCGCAAAGACGGGTAGAAGATACCGGCGGTTGTTGCGAGCTTGAAGATGACGGCTGTGTATACACTTGTTGAGCAGGTTGCATATAATTTAATTGTTGGTTGGTACTCGGCTGATTGTTTATTTGTGGTTGCTGCGAGCATGCAGATAAGTGCTGTGAATACACTTGTTGAGAATGTTGCATATAGTTTAATTGTTGGCTGGTACTCGGCTGATTGTTTATTTGTGGTTGCTGCGAGCATGCAGATAAGTGCTGTGAATACACTTGTTGAGAATGTTGCATATAGTTTAATTGTTGGCTGGTACTCGGCTGATTGTTTATTTGTGGTTGCTGCGAGCATGCAGATAAGTGCTGTGAATACACTTGTTGAGAATGTTGCATATAGTTTAATTGTTGGCTGGTACTCGGCTGATTGTTTATTTGTGGTTGTTGTTTATATGAAGAGGACTGCTGTGGATATGGAGACTGTATTAAAAAGGCTGCATATAATTTGTAAACTGGCTTGTATTATGTAGATTGTTTGTTTTATAAATATGAGTACTAGTGTATATTTGAAGCACTTCCATTATCTTTAGTCTAAAATTGATTAAATTCTGTTGCGACATACTATTCATCATTGGTAATTATGACATTAAAAAAGCCTTATTGCCCATAACGTCGTTCAATCTCTCCTGTTTTTGTAAAGCTACTGACTGCGACAATATCGCTGTGATACTTTTTAAATCTTCATCTTCCTTTAATCTTCGTTTGTGAACATTTTTCTTTAATCTTTTGTTTTCGAGTTCTTCAGCTGTCTGAATTTGAGTATTGCTTTCATTTATTGTTTCCGCAACTTGTTCTGTATCTTCTTCTTTTCTCTCTTGGATATTAGATGACGTTGGCCTCTTTTCCATATGAACCGCTAAAAATGAGAGTTAATCATAGTATATATATTTTCGCTTTCTTTGTGTAGCGGCTTGTCCGCTTTTAACTTTCTTTCTCTAGGGTAACTTCTCGTTTAAATTAATCACGAAGTGATTTCCACTTAGTCTGAAGTTTCTTTCCTAAAACAAAAAAAAAATATTCTTTCAGATATTTAGCAACCGGATCGAACTTTTCGGCTTTGGAGTATTAGTTCCATGTGTTAAAGTCAACCATTGGACAAATAGTAAAAGAAACATGCTTGGCTATATGGGAGACATTACAACCGTTAGAAATGCCTATACCAACTAAAGATAAATGGATAGAAATATCAAACAAAATGTTCACAAGGTCCAATTTTCCGCACTGCTTGGGAGCTATAGACGGTAAACACATTCGTATGATGTGTCCCAAGAATACCGGAAGCGAATACTTTAACTACAAAAAATTTTATTCCATCGTCTTATTTCATGTTGATACTGTTGTAAGTCGTTCTAACACTACGAGATTCTGTTAAGAGGACGATGAGGAAGATGACCGGGATGACCCATTATCCCCCACATCTTTAATTACTTTCTTCGGAACAACAAAAAAATACAAATTCAACGTATTCGTATTGTTTGCCCTCTTCATTTTCTGAAAAAAAAAGAACATTTGTGATTCCAATAATAATTTGCAGTCACTTTTCGTTCAAATCGGAATCTATTAGCTTTTGTATTTCAAAATCCTATATAGCGAACATCTGCGCTGACCGAGAGAAAACTGCAGAGTATTATTTATATTATTATTTTATATTAAACTATAAAATATAAAGTATTCGTTCCGTTAGCAAACAGAAAATTATTCCTAACCTATCTATGGATTTTTACTCACCTGTCACGTCACCCTGAAATAAAATGATGATTACAATCCGGCAGTATATACAGTGCACTCTATAACTTCGATACGATAGTGTATATCGGGTAGACGATAGATACTTCAGAACGTTCAAATTTCTACACAATACACAACGATATAACCATAGATAAATAATATAGTATATACAGATAGATAGGCAACTCTATATATAAATTTGGTTTATTAGCACCACTGGTGAGTGGAGTCAATACTAATCACCATTTGGCGGGAAATTCAAATGGTTAAGTATTAATTTTATCGCTTTAGCGCCTCTGGTGGGTCATTTCGGTACTAATTAAAATTTAGTGGGTAATTCAAAATATTTTATTATTTTCCAATGGAATAATCTCACATATAGTGAGTGATGTGACAATACCTATCTGCTTTTTCACAAGTTTTGTAGGGAGACGAAAATCTTTATTTATAGGAACTATAACTAAACTTTAAAAACTAAGGAATCAAATAAAACTAAACTGAAAAAACTAAAGAATCAACTAACCGAACTTAAAAAACTAAGGAACCAACTTAAATTAAAATTATCAAGATTAAATTACAAACGATCTTCTTCTTCTTTGTCAACCATTTTCCATCCACTCCTGAATGTAGGTCTCTCCCAATTGCTTCCATCTTTCTCTATCTTGCGCCAATCTAATCCACTGTTTGCCTGCCACCGCTCTTATGTCATCTACCCATCTTTTTTGAGGTCTTCCCATGCTTCTTGTTGTCGTCCTTGGTCTCCATTCTAGAATTCTCCGTGTCCACCTGTTGTCATTATATCGGGCTACGTGACCTGCCCTTACAAACGATAGTTAATTAAAAATGAAAACTAAGGTATCAACTAACTAAACTTTAAAAACTAAGGAACCAACTTAAATTACTAAGACTAAATACAAACGAAAGTTAAAGATAATTAAATTAAAAATGAAAACTGTAAACAAGCCAAAGCACGTGGAAGACGAAAATGGACGAAACTCGAAAATATACAAATAGATTCCACCGAACTTCTAACTCGATGACAAATATCAATCATCAACTTGTCATTACTTTTGACGGAATTGACATGGCGGAATTAAGCTTCGTTTGATTATTTTATTTGTGACATTCAGAGATGGTGTTAAAATAAAATGATTGGTTAAAGTCTTCGTGAGCGAGATAGGCTGTCATCTCTCTTTATTAACCGACTGGAGTCAAAGTGATGGGGGAAATGTTCAAGGTTATTCATATAAGATTCCAGGCCATGGATATAACTTCCATAAAAAAATATGTACATAGGCATTCTTATGTTTCTGTTTCTACACTGGACGTCGCCGGTGTCGGGATTCGCGCGGGAGGCGATGCACTTGCATTGGCGTAACCAGAGTTGAAGAGACAGGCATTATGATTAATTATCATTATTACAGATTGCAGTATCTAGGTATTTCAAAATCCGTATGTGAATCCATTTAAAATAATTAATTTACAGAGTAAATAGTTTAAAATATATTAACATAACATTATCCTGTGTTACTAGACAAGTTTATTTAAAGTGCATTGCCACCTTTGGGCCCTCCTTATGACCGCCCTTGACCCCAACCACTTTCATATACTGATAGTCCCGATTATCCTTTTGTATTTGTTGGTGACGAAGCTTTCGGATTATACACTAGTTTATTACGGCCATATCCAAGACGAAATCTCAGCGATAGTGAGTGAGTTTTTAACTACAGGTTAACAAGAGCAAGAAGATTTGTAGAATATACTTTTGGTATAATAACCAGCAAGTGGCGGATATTACCTACACCTATTTTACTTGAACCTGACTTTACAGAACTTCTTACAAAAACCGCCTGTATCCTTCATAACTTCTTACGAAGAAGAGACGGTTTTGATTTTAATGATAACCTAACAGATCCACTACAAGATATATCGGCTTTAGGAACTGGGAGATGGTGATCGGGAATTTCAGTCAGAAATCAATTTAAATCTTATTTTGTAAGCAAAGAAGGAGAATTGGCATGACAATATGATAAAATATAAAGTTCAAGTAACAAATACCTACCATAAAAGCAATTTTTTTTTAAATTGCATATTGTAGTTGAATAAAACAGTAAAAAACTCACCTAACTTATATTTTTTGTCTGGGGATAAATCGTTCCAGTTTTCAACCATTTCATTTGCAATTTCACTCCACAATTTGGCCTTTAAATCCCTATTAGAATATTCCTTTAAATGTAAATTGTAAAGCGCAGGGCGCCTTTCAATTTCACTGATAAATTTTTCTATATCAAACATATTTAATTTGAAAAATTATTTTTTGTTGTGTCTGTACCTCTGGCGTGACAAACGTCTCATCTATTAGAACACATAAGAAACAATGAGTTGAGTGCTAGTCCGTTTCTCTCGCCGCGTGGAGAACGCAGCAGATTGCGATTGGCTGGCGTAGGATTGCGAGAGCAACGCTCGCGTATTACCGTCCATTGAAATGCATGGTTCCTATTACAACGTAGAATACGCTGCGTATCTCTCGCAGCGTATCTTACGCCCGTCTATTATCTGCTTAAGCCGATAACTTTTCTCTTTGCCTCGTTTTGTGTGAACTGAGTACAAAATAATAATCGGGAATGCTAGTTGCTTAGTATATAGTGAAAAACCTTATATCCAAAATGGATTGTTAAAGTCAATTAAATAAGAATAAAACTTCATTAGTCCGATAACTATCGCCGAAGAAAACTCCATCAAAACCATTACATATATTTTTAACGAATGCATGGCGCCGATAACCTTATTTTAAAGTACCGGCACACTGTATTAGAATTTTTTACATTCATTATTTTTTTAAGTTCCTAATCAAAGGTACTAATTCCACTTGTAAGCAATCAGCAAGGTCAAACAGGTAAGCTAGATTATTTTTTTATGTTCAATGGTAACAATGAATAAACAAATGGGAAAACATTTCAGACACGAAATAATAATATACATTTGAATACTTCCCTTTTAAAAGCATATTTTTGGTGTTAATTAGCTATCTTTGGCTGTTGTAGCTTCATACAGAGTAGATGATTTGGTAAGTTTTTTCTGTATTGACATAATAGTCCAGGTTATGAGGCCGTTTCCGTAGGAAAAATGTCTCTCATTCGATTTTTTTGCACAGTCCTATTCAAAGATGTACCCTCTAAACAAATGAAAAGGGTGTTGGACGAAATTTTTGGGCAGAAATTGTTTAAACAATTTTTTTACACAAATTCCAAAAATCACCTTTATTGACCCGAAAAATTGTTTGAGGTTTCTTGAGTCATTTTACAAGATAAAGGTCATCTGTTATTTTTGTCTAAAGTTGACAGTTTTTAAGTTAGCGATTTAAAATCTAAAAATTGTGGGTCTACTCTGTTTTAAAGCCGCCGCGGCGCGTAGCACTATACCCTGAATTCAATAGGATTGTCAGGGCAGACATTTTGTAGTTCGGTAACACTCGGTGGTAAGCGGCTATATATTTATTTCTTTATTAGCACACAAATCCACTTCTCAATTATAATTTTTACCGGTTACATCTGTTGGAAGTCCGAACTACTCGCCTTACGTAATATTCCTAATGAAATCCGGCACCA